ATTTATGACTTCCAGCTAAATGTGCAACCTTTCTGTCAGGGTGCTACAGGGGCCAGGAGCTCCCTCGGGCCACCAGGGCAGCAGGAAGCACCTGACAGCCCAAGCTTGTCCAGCCCCAAAGCCAGGGAACCTGGCAGCCCCCGCCCAGGCACCTCCCTGGACACAGGACCAGGCCAGGCCACAGCATTGGCTCATGGGCTCAGAACTCAATCAACAAGGTCCATGAGCAGGGAGGCAAGGGATGGTGGCCTCAGGGGGCTCAGTCCTGGGCCATCAGCAGGGTGGAGGAGGCCTGTGGGAAGCTGGTCTGGGCCATAAGTGTGACTGCTGTCCTCAGACTTTTATGCTTGAGATACTTCATGTGCTCCTGGTAAATGATGTCATCACCTAGGGATGATGCTGGGTGAAAGGCTCTGCTGGTCTGCAAGTTATGGGAGCAGCAGCTTCCAAAAAGCTTGTTTGTGTCAGGCTGAAGACTCTGACTTAACTTGGGAAAAAGATTTTTCAAAAAAAGGCAATTAGGCTTTATCTAAAAAGCAGGACATTAGAATCAAGTCCTTTCTGCTCTGAGTTTGGTTATTGTAGGTCCCAGAATAATTTATGTCCTAAACTGAACCAGGTAATGAGTAGGGTGGAAGGTGCTGAAGTCTTCCATCCCTTGTTTGCTGGTGGCTGGCTGTGTCTCATACAGATACACTCATCTCTTTCACCCACACATGTATAACATTTGACTGTTTCTGTTTCACAGAGAGTGTGATGGGAAGGAAAAACACACATCTTCTTTGGTGCTCAGCAGTGTTTTGGGAGCCAGTCTCTAACCTTGAGCTGTCACAATGCCAAACCACACAACAGCTTTGATCCTTTGTGGATGGACCCAGTTATTCCTGTAAAGTGGCAACATAAATGGCACTGATCTAGAATACAAATAATCCAGTGCTGGAAATTGAATCTTAGAAGTACATACATATTCATGTGTTTTAAATCGAAGTATACACACATAAACAAATTTAAAAATAGAAAATGTAGGATTAATTTAATCTCAATGTATACATCCATATAATATTTGTATCTGACCCAGCTCCCTTCACAGTCAACAGTGGAAGACAGACACCTTTAGGGCATGAGTCATCTGGCCTCTTTTTACATGCCTACCTAAGAAGACAGAAATACTACCCTCTAAGGGACTGTTTCTCTCCTCCACTGACTAGAAGGATTAGTTTTGATGCAGACATACACCTTTAGGGCCACCTCTCTCCCAGTAGCTAAGGAATACATATCAGCTTACCCAAATCCCTCTGTGTTAGAACTGTTGACTCTTAACCACACATGAACAAACAGCCCTGGGCACCTGCTGAAAGACCCCTTGTAGTAAACTTGACACCTCTGAGCAGAGGTGTTATTAAATCTAGATAAGCTTTAACTTCTAAACAATGCTATTTTTAGCATCTTTATCCCATAACATTCCACCAGCCTCCACAAAGCCTCTCTTCTCTGAAGCAGCTATTCAAAACCTACTGTTCAGGGATCTCTGGTGGAGAAGAAACATAATGTACCTCTTCCTCTAATTACCTAAACTGAATACGTTGAGTTGGAGCTACCATGAATGCCACAAACTAAGGTACTGCTGGACATGCATTCCCGCACTCCTTAGAGTACAAGCCCGGGAATACACTGGACAGCAGTGAGTACTGCAGGAACCCAGAGGGAAAAGCTGATGAGATACTCTATGGTTTATCATAGAGTATCACAGTATCATAGATTACACATTAGAAAAGTGCCCATGAATTACTGTTAAGTGACCTCTGCCAAACTGTATCCTGATGGATAAGGGATGTCTTCTCAACAGTGTGTGCACTTGTAGAAGTCTATTTAGTCCACTATATGTTGTTTTACTTTGATGCTAAGAATGTATGCATATTTTAGAACTCATTGTGGTCATAGCAATGAGAAAAGAATACAATCATGTCTATCTGTGTTAACTTCTATAGTATTATGTGTACAGAAATATGCAAGTAAAGAAGGACCCCTTGGGAGTACAGAGGAAACATCTGAAAAATACTTTGAGGTTCAAGGAAATATTAAAGTAACTTTTCAACCATGAACCATGTTAATGGACCAGTAAGTCAAATTAAATTACAGTTTTCCATTACCGTGCTCAATTCCTACATTATATACCGGTATATGTGTAAAGATACAATGACAAAAGGAAAAGCTGATGAGATACTCTATGGTTTATCACTCACTGACACGATTAAAATCTCTGGTACCCATCTACTATTGTGCTCACTCTTTCTAGCAGCTTTGCATTTAATAGTCACAGTCATATTTTGCACCAAATTCTCAAGTTAAAGAGACGTTTACCTTTTACATAGCAGCTGAAATAAAGACATGAGGACTCAAACATTTAATACTAGACATTATCTTTCATGGCTGTAAGAGGAAACAGTAACTGCTATAATCAAGCAGTGGGCTGTTGGTGAAAGTTTGGTGATTACTGTCTAAATGTCTATAGCTGGCTTATCTTCAAACCCTTGAAGCAAACTTTGGATTACCCCTTTTAAAGGCTGCATAAGCTTAAACATTATAACAGATACTATATATATATATTAAATTGTCTTCTATATTCGGTTAAATTTTACATTCTACATTACAAATGCAATAACTATTTATACAGAAGCCCACAGCAGCGGCAGCCGCTAGTTGTCCAGCCATTGAACTGTGCCACAGCTGTCTGACTGTGATAAGTATATTTTATATACAGTTCACATACTTTTGTGCTAGTGAAAAATTAGCCATGTTGGGATATTGTGTGGAACATTATGTCCATGGAAAGTTTCATTATATTCATTTGGATAATGCCTCCTCTCTGACATTAAGAGCAAAAATGTGGGATTTTTCTGTGCCATAGGGAAGCTACATTACCAAGAAAGCTGTCCTTTTAGAATCAGTAAGGTCTCTGTGACCCTGATTACTCTGACAGATTCAGTTCAGGTTTGCTTCATCTTCCCCAATTATAATTTATAACCCAAACCAATGATCCATCAAGCCAGATGACATTATCTGGAGATCATGATGATGAAGAATGGGTAGCATTGCCTGCCACCAGTGAAGAATCACAGAATGATTCTGAAGTAAAGAAAAAAACTATCATTACATAATATAAGTTAACACAGAAGAGAAAGCTTATCCAAGAAAAATACATATTGCAGAAAACATTAAAGAGCTGTGGTCTTTGATATGAAGGTTGGGGACCCCTGTGACAGAACATAGCAACAAACCCAAAGTCATTGTGAGCACAGTCCTGACCCTACAAAAACCAACATCAAAACTCTCACTAATTTGAGGAAGCTGAAGATTTAATTTGGATTCAGTTTTTGGATTAATAACCACCTTATTAAGAACTGGCAGATGAAGTCTCCACTCTGTGCCAAAATGCTCAATTATAAAACAGAAATTATGGGAGTTACCCCCACTAGAAGGAGAGAACAAAGCAAGTCGTAACACAACTGCTTGCACAGCACACTGACACTCTGAAACCAGAGGTGCTGAAGAAATGAGGGCAGTCAGGGAGCTCTGAACTGCCTTCTGTTTACCAGGAAATAACTTCATCTGGTAATTTATCATGGTGAGAAGTGTCAGGGAAAGAAGTCCTCCTATCAGATACATTGCTAAACAGTCACACTTCAATCAGAGTCCTGTAACGGAAAACTAGTATTAAGGTTAGAGGGTCAGGAGCAAGAAATCTTCATTGATTGTTGAGGGTGCAAAAGGTACATATAGCCATTCTGAGTGCTTATTCCCCCCCAGAATGGAATCAGCAAGGAGAAATAAGGGCACTAAGAAACAATCTGGGGACAATCAAATTTGCAACACTCTCCCAAACCACCATATTAGTATGTATCTTTCACTGGGTGAAAGAGCTATAGAACTGTATAGGAGAAGCTATCTCAGTTTTTAATAAACATTTTTACTACACATTCTAAGCAAGAAAACATGATGTTTAATTGCTTTTAGCAACAGGATTAATTGCTTCTTTTCCTTTAGCTCAACCCAGTTGGGTCTAGCTGCTGATTTAGGGCACTTAGCAACATCCCAAATATAGGGGTCTGATACTTCCTTGAAGGAAATATAACCATTTCACATCCAGCTCACTCCTAGCTCTCAAGTGACTCTGCCTGGCCCCAGGTGAGGTGTTACATTTATATATAGGGCAAGTGACTTACCAGTAGACACTTCTCATGCCTTTTTTTTTTTTTTTTCTCTGCTTTTCTTTGGTTTCCTAACTTCTGGTGAAATAGTGATTTTCAGACTCCCCTTTCTTGTAAAGCAGGTTTCTTATCCTTGGTTTTGCAAAATTCTGAGTGTTGAAGGCAAAATTCTAATTGTAACCACTCAGCAGTGGTAATTTGTGACCGTGAAATATTCAGGCACAGAAAGAAAGAAGGCCCAGCTACAAGAAGGGGTTAGACTGGCTGGAAGAGGAAAGCCAGAGAAAGTACAGCTCCTTGTAAGGGAGAGAAATTTCCCTTAGAGCTCAGATAAGATACAGCCTCTGTGTGGTCTTGCAGCCATTCTCAAATGGGAGAGCTCAGAGGCCCAAGCTCAGAGGCCACATTTGTGCAGCAGGACCAGGCTGGGGGAAGGACCCACAGACCTCTGGGTTGAGGTGTGCTACACAGCTGCTCTCAGGATTGGTGCTGGTGCCAGTGTATTTAAGGAACCTGCTTGGGATGCATCTTTGCATGCTCCATGTAGAACTGCGTAGTATTTTGGTAGAACTCTGCTTAATGCACAGTTCATTACATTTTTCTCTTATATTTAAGCACAAGTGTGTGTGTTTAAACCCCTCTCCCAAAAATCCATTAAGTGAGCTTTATTGGTGATTTTTTATGTTTATTTTAGATCTGCTTGTCTTTTCATAACCAGTCAAGTTTTCCCCAGGGTGTCTCAGCGGTGCACACGGTGGGATGATGGTGGTGGCTGCCAGGAGACCTGTTGGGTTACACCAGGCAGCTGCTCTGCTCCAGCACCTTCAGTTTGATACCAGCACACTTCATTGCTCCCAGAGTGCAGTGGCTGACTGTCCTCTTCCTCCCTGTTGACTCCATTTGGATGCAGTGAGGTCTGGTTTCTTCTTTGGGGCACTGGTAAGGCATCAGGCAGAAGCACTGGCTCTGTATCTCTGGGAATGAATGTGTTGGAGTTTTAGCTGCAAATGTCATGTCCAAAAACATACTTACAGTTTGACAACATCTCAAAATCTAACAGGGAAATGCAGCATTCAGAGGTTCATGATACATTGGTTACAAAAAGCCTGTAGTGTATACATGAGATAGTAGGGTATTAGCAATAGATAAAAAAGTAGCTTTAAATATCAGGTTTTGATGCAGTGGCCTATAAAGAAGCAAAAATCAAGTATTTAACTATTTTTATCCATGGCGTTCCCTGACCTTTCTTCTAAACAAAACATATTAAGTCGACTTTCTTTCCCAATTATCCTTGCACACAATGTTGCTATGAAATGAAGTTGTAAGGTCCATACTGTGTCGGTTCCTATTTCATTAAAGCTCTGTTTATGAATGCTAAGCTACCTGCTGTTGGCCTGTGGTAAAGCTCAGTTCTGCCAGTTATTTCATTACCCATTTATGATCTAATCAGATTCTGCCTCTATATTCTTTCCCAGAAATTCCCTAGGCAGGAAACTAAGTTTCTGCTTTCCCTTTCTTAAAAAATATGAACAGTGTTTTCCACCATTTAGCTGTTTTCACATGGTATCTTCTACCTCTGTCCTGAAAACAACTGCTTGTTCTCAAGAAAAACAAAACTTGCATTTCCTAAATATTTGTGCACGCTCATGAGAAAGAGCTCTTGTGTGGAGATGGAGAGGAGGAAAATCCAATTCAAACATCTTGAGCACCACAATGAAAACCCATTTTATTTTTGTATTTTTCTCCTCTCTCTCTCTTGTTTTTCCTCACTGAATAGGACTCCTCTGTAGGCTTTTAGGAGAAAAACACTGAGGTGCTGGCACAGAATCCAGCTTTAAGGCACTTCCACACTGCTTCTGAGGCTTCTTTGGGTTTCTGGAATAAATAAGCCTTTTTTTTTCTTTTTTCTTTTTTTTTTTTTTTTCTAAATTTATAACCACCATCCAAGGAGTCCAAGGTACACAGAAACTGCAATACAGCATGTCCCTCAAGGGGCACACTTGGTCATACTCTGCGCTCCAGCCTCACAGGGAACAACATTCCTTGAGGTAGTTGTACCACCACCTACTTCAAATCCTGTGCTGCAGAAATCTAGCATCTTCAAAACAGGGTTTTAGGATTGCTGCACACTGATTTTGCTTTATTTTCCATAAGCAGACAAAGCATGATAAGGATCATGTTTATCTCTGGAAAGAAATGAAGAAATGAACGTGGCTGCCACTCAGACTTTTCCTGGCAAGCACTTGATGTGTGCTGAGCCAGCCAACACTTTTACGGGAAAACCCATTACTCTTATCACCAAGTTACACAGTAAATAGCTAAGCTGCACAACAGTGTTTATAAAATAACCCTCTTAGGGATTTCACCAGCTTAGCTATTTCATTAAAACTCTCAATAAACACAGTTTTCACATATGGCTATTTGCATTTTGCCATTAAAATCCCATTAATCCTGATGGTTCCAGTCTTGCTTGTTATGCACTGTCATGATTTAATTTCATAATTTAATTATATGCTATAGAGGGTGTGGCCCAAATTAACTCCTGAAGTAGAAAGTAGTGGTTATAGTAGATTCACAGGCAATAGATGATAACAGTGCTGTCTACTTTTCTGTGATTAAAGATTCAAATGTTAATCCTCCTGAAAAAGCCCCCTTCATCTCCAAGTTCCTTTTGTGCCTTACTTCTGGGAAGTGCCAACACTACACCACTTGTGCCTGAGGGACAAGGCACTTACCTAAGTGTAACACTTGGTAGCAGGACTGACTACAATTTCCACAATCCTTTTGCTATAATTGTTCAGATGGACCACAATGCCTGTAAACCCCATCCTTGGACCAGTGAAGGAATCAGCACATTTTATTTCTAGATGCAAAGGGCTGGATAAATGCACCATTCAGAAGTCATACCTGAGCACTCCTCCCAGTCATAGCAGGTGTCATAGCCACAGGGCACTTTCCTGAAGCTATTTGTAGAGAGCTTTACCCGTTCAAGAGCCCAGTTTAGGTTGGAATCAACATGGCAAGGGCCAGCATGCAAGAAATGGACTGACTGCTCTCCTAGGCACACTTCAGCTGAATACTGACAACTGGGCTTGGTCACATTCTTTTCAGAGATAGCATGTAGCACACAGATGTCTTCCGAGTAGTGTCTGCCCCAAATGAAAAAGACAAATCATTTAAGCAGGCTGTGGAACAAATCTATACTTCTAAACACTCCACTGGCATTGGAAGGAACACAGCAAAGCCAGGGCCATGTTGGATATCTCTGTAAAGACCAAAGGCTGTCCCAGCTACTGCAGGATCTGGAAATGATTCAGCACTGTGTAGTGAGATGTGGAAGCTTTGGCCCTGTCCAAAAGATGGAAAGTGAAGGATATGTGCCTGCACAAGAAAACTGGAGATGCTGCTGCTCCGCCAGGCTTGGGAAATTTCCACAGGGTGGATTGTCAGATTAAAAGCAGCCCTGCAGCTGTGTGTGCAAGATGGCCTCTGAGGCACAGTTAATTTGGGAAACGTGAGAGGCAACCCCAGCTGTGCTGCTTGTTTCTTTCTGTTGTGCTCTTGGTTCCTGAGTGGATTTATACTCAGCAAGTGCAAACATTTACAAGCAGCATCATTTTGTGGAGCTCATTTCACAAAGAGAGGGAGCAATATGGCTCACCTTGTTTAGCCTCCTGAATTAAACTTATATCTGTAGTCAGCAAAAGCTCTTTAACTTTCAGAGGATTTGGCCTATATACTTTTGACAGTATCTATCACCCTCTGAAGATTCTTCTCCTTCCACCCAGGGACTCTAGAGAAAGTGATGGTACCTGGGTATTTGGGAACTGACATGGATGAGATGAATCCCATGCCAAGGGACTTGCCTGTGGTCACATAGCCCTGTGATAGAATGTGTGACCATCTACAACAGCCACCTCATGTTCAATCTGTACTCATCTTGCCTGTCTCCAGCCCCACACCAGACTTCCAAATTGGCTGGTCATTTACTAAAAATCCTGAAGGACGATCGTTTATTCACTTGAATGCTCAATTGTCTGTGCAGGTCATGTTGTGTAAAGAGACAGTAAATACAAGTCTTACGTATTTTTATATGCTCTGGAGGATGAAACATACAGTGTGTTTTGCAGTATGTTAATCTGAAAAAGGTGAATCTCTAATACAAGCAGCATGACCTATTTTGGCAAGGTGATGACAGCGAAAATACAGCTCTCAGAGGAATAAAGAGAAGAAACAGTTGGGATCTCTGGAAGCAAATGGTGAAGAAGATTAGAAGGATGTGCTCTGGTGTGCCATTTGGTTAATGTAATTGTTAACTTATTTTATAGTCTATAAATGGGACTGTGATTAGGATTCAGAGGCATAGTTGGCTAATTTGTGAAGAGAGAGTGGCCCTGAATTGCTGTTGTCTTTTCATGCTTTTCTTGTTTTGTGTCACAATGGACTTTTTGTCTATCAGTGAAGAAACTTTGACTGTTCTTTTTCTAGTAAAAGTAATAAACTTACCCACAATCTTCTTCTGGTGACATACAAACACACTGAGATCCAACCTGCTTTTCTCCTGGATTACAAACACCTCTAATTTCAGTTTGCATATCTGTAAAAAAAGAGTGAGAGCTATTGTAGCTAGTAACAAAATGAACAGAAATACCTTAGACTCCTGCCATAAAGCCCCAAATTGATTTATTTTCATTTATCTGATACTTCTCTTTTGGAAAGCAGCTGTGGTTGGGATCCCAAAAATACACATCAGTCTTTGCAAAAATTGTTGGGACATCCTGTACAGCAAGAGAAGTTGTACAACAGGAGAAGTTCTCCTACTTTACTTTCACAAAGTCTTGTTAGTTCAGCTGGGGTTTGTTTTACTTTGTTTTGTTCTTAAGAGAACATAGTTAAAGCATACAGTACATTGCACTCACAAATTCTGAACTTAATGCAGAAGTTTGGGGCTGAAATTATATGGCACTGTTGTAGAGACAAAGTAAAACCAAAATTGATTAACATGTCCTTAAAAGTCTTAAAATCAGTCACCTGCCTCCTAGTTCTAGCTAGCTTAAATTAACTGTGATATTGACACCAGCAGTTTAGAAACAGTGAAGTATCTAAAGGCATACTAACCTTTTTCACATGTAATAGATCTCAAAATAGGAGGTGCCCAGGACAAGTCTTTCCCACAGGTATACTCTGTTGGACCAGCTATTATAAACCCAGATGGGCAGCTCAGCTTCACAGTTTCACCAGTGTTGTACTGTTGCTTAAATGGGGAAATGGCAACACTGTCAGATGCTGGTGGCCTGAGGCATATTGAGGCTGTAATAAACAAGAATAATTCTTGTTGGTGTTACAGTATGTGGATATACACAGCAAGTAGTACTGCTTCCTCTGAAGAGCCATAAAGACATGGCTGACATTCAAAACAAATAAATATTTAAAATAATTAAGTAGAGAAATACTCAGTACAGTGTTATAACCTTTGATTTTTTTTCAACCTGTAGCTAAACACATACAATGAGTTTCTACTGCATGATAGGGTAATTTAATTTCACAGTTTAAAAATAGTAAGAATGTCATTACAAGCATATTTTAATTTTTCTTTTGTAAATGAATCTATTAACAAACCAATTAAAATTAATAGCAATAGAAAGCTCATCAGTATATTAAGGTAATTTTTTTATATATAATGAACACTAAGTCAATGAATTCACACTGAGTTCTAGAAAACTTCTGGAACCTCTCCTATTATCAAACTCAGGTCAGTTCTGATCCTTAATTCTCAAGTGGACTAGAAATAATTCAAGGCGTTGGTTTATTGTGTGGATTTTTAAGGCTTGTTCCAGCAAACTTAGAGACGCTTCCTCTATTTAATACAAAAAGTGTTTGACAAATTCCTCCAAGAATCCTTTCTTCAGCATAACTGTCATCAACTTAAAGTATCTATATAAGTCTGGATTCAAAGGATGAGTCCTTCTATTAAAGATATTTAAAAGTAGACAAGAGAAGGACCTCACAGCATCCATCTGAGGGTTTTCTAAAGCACTGAATATTACAATATCCCTACAGAGCACATAATAGTAACACTTCTGATTTGAAGGAGGAATAATGTAGTGACTCAGTAGGTTTTTGTCATCTCTACATGAAATAGCGTCTTAAAATGTTATGTTTTTAGATATCATTACAGATTCTTTTGTTAAAGCCTGCATTAAAATCTACTTTGTATCTTATTCTTCCACTTCTGTTTTGTTGCTGGTATAACTAGTTTTCTCTTTCTTACGTTGACATTCAACAGGCTGCTGTGTCCAGGTTTGATCTGGCAGACACCGAAGAAATTGATACCCACTGAGGACATGACCACTCACACAGACAATTTCAGCTTCTTCTCCCACAGCATACTGGTTCTTTTCATTCTACAAAGAAGAAACGAAAAAGTCCGTAAAAAATCTATATTAATGAGACTGGACATTGTCAAAAGAAACAATTATGAAAGCCTGATGATACAATATAATGAATGCATGCTTTTCCTACTCTGAAATATGAGTCATCCACTCATCTGTATAATAATTGTCCAGCTGCGCTAACTGATATCCTGGTTACAAAACAAGGATTCAAGAGCTACTCATTGAAGTGGATTTTACCTTGCCTTTGCTTCTGTTGCCTGTGGACTTTGACAGACTAGAGTCCAGCACACCACATACACAGTAGCATGCTCACTAGCACAGTACCTAGCTTCAGTATCAGATACAGGTAGCAAAGAAGCTGGAAAATTTCCCAGCTTTGTAACTACTCCATTCTTCCCGCTTCTCATGCTAACCCTGATAAAGCCATTTTCTGGTGCTTCTGGCCTGGAGCATCCAGTCTCAGGTTCACCAATCAAGACATCCTCTTCTCTTCGTACTTCATCATCATTTATACAAGGAGCACCTCTGAAAAGTAAAAATTTTCTGGTAAGGACATATGTTAAACTCTGGTGTCACCAATGACAGAAGGTCTGGAGTTTTGTACAGAAGTGCTAGAAGAATTTCCCTGTCCCCATCTTGTCCCCCACCTCGGTGAAAAAACTTTATTGTCTTAAAGAAAAGATGGTGGGCTTCAAAAATCGCAGGAGTTAATAGGAGGGAGGTTGGGAGAGTCTTAAAAAAGTGATAGAAGGCTACAATTTATATTGAAATAACTCATTAAATTTTTTCATAGAGTAAGAAAAAGAGGCAAAGAACAGCATATGGAAGAAGTCTCTAAAGTGTTCACATTATTTGCTTGAGTTTAAGACAGCATAATCAAAACCTGCCTGTTGCCATCAGACAATGGTTAAAGGAGGCTCACAGGCTCACATGTCTCTGTGAGCATGGAGCTGTACACTCTGAGTGTCTAACTGACATGAGTACCAAAGAATGATCAGTAACAAAGAGCCCATTGCTTTTGATTTTCTCCTACCTACTCCAGAATTTTCTTTGCAGTCATTATCACAGGGATTATGAAAATCCTGCTTCAGCTTTTGGTTCCAGTAGAAAAATTGAGTCTTATAATCCCTTGCTCTGGAAGATGCAAGAAACTGAGCCAGTTTGGGGTTAGAGTTATGATTTTAAGTTGAAAACAAGAAAATCTGATTAAACAGATGAAGTAGGAATAGGAAAACTTGGTAGTTTCAGTGGAATTCTCTCTGAGATTGAGGTCTCTCAGAACTAAACCTCTAAGAGAAGAGGATGTGGTATTAAAAAATCAAAAACTACAAACTCCCCTGAACAGAAGCAGATGAGTTCTCCATGACTATGGACAAGAAGCCATGCAGAAGAGCGTAAGAGTTCTACAGGCATACTTTAGCAGGTAATTAATCCTTCATTTTCTAGGAATAAATAATTAACAAATCCAAACATGAAGAAAGTTGTGAAGATTTTCAGACATTTCCTTCTCTCATCCCCACCACAGACAGGAGAGCTGTCTTCTATTTCTCCTCGGTAGTTAAAAAACTATTCTGTAGGGCTCCTTAACTCCTTAACTGTAAGGCTCCCCTTGACTGTGACCTTTTGATCTACCATCCACTTACCTGTCCATGAACACAGAGATGTTACAGTCCTCCTCTTCTTCCAGTTCACCTTCACAGGGCTTCCCACCATTCATTGGAGAGGGGTTATTACACTCCCGGGTCCTTCTTCTTTTGAAGGAAGTGTCACATGAACTCCATTCAGACCAGCAACCCCAGCGGCCATCGACAGCAACTGCAAGAAATAACCGGAATCACACCTTTTTGTAGATCTGTACAATACATAATATTTCTTTTAAGGTTACATATGGGAAGGATGCTGGTAAATGCATAATAGCCATTTTCAGAGGATTTAAAATTGCTCCTGTTAAGTGAGTAGATTGTTTCTAGAACGTGAATTTTTCTAAAGCACTGATCAGCCAAATTTCAGCTGCTTTATGAAACCTTTAAATAAATCTTCCTTTCTAGTTTTGATTGCAAGCGTCATTTAAACCCAGAAGCAGCTTATTGTGTACCTCTCTTGCACACACGAATTCTTGGGTTTTCATGGTGCTGACAATCTTTTTTGATAAAGCTCAGTGTTTAATGAGTTATTAAATTAATCTGATCTCTAAAAACACATCTTAACCCCAAATCTACATCCCATGCAAGTTAATTAAAACACTACAGACTTTTATTAGCCCCTGGGGTGTTTTATTTGTGTCTCCATGAAGCTTATATAAACCTTTTTATTTCTTTTCTTCATGCAATACACTTTCTGCATTCATCTCTATCTGCGTATGTTCCATTATTTTTTTTTAAAATATTGATCAGAGTCCAAAAATGAGGCCTATAATTGTGTAATTGATTTTCTCTTCTTTCCCATTTTGGTCCTGGAATATAAATATATGTAATAATAAATGTAACACTGTACCTCTCTTCATTTTCCCATAGGTATGGCACTAGTGGCAATTTCATTCAAAATCCTTTCTGCATGAATTTGTTCTTAAAATTCTTCAGAATGATGATTCTGTTCCCTCTCCTTAAGACAACTGAGTTTTCCTTCCACATCATAGTAAAAAATTTGTATCTCCACTAGCCATTTAGTTCCAAGCATAACAGGCTAAAGGGAAAACTAAGGGACAGGATTCCTAGTTTTTGCATTGTCTTTGATCTCAACTTCATCCTTATTCCTGACCAGCTGAGTTTCTGTTATCTCTAATTATGTAGCTAAGGAATTATTCACTAGGTCTTACAATTTCTTTTGAGTTGAGCCTGTTAATTTGATTTTTTTTATTTTTGATTCTACCTTTTCTCTAACGCTTTCTGACCATCACCATGTGGTGAGAAGTGCTAGGCATTTAGTAAGGGAAAGTTATGTCAGGTCCATCTTTGACAAGCAGATACCAGAAAGACCATGTTTGCAGCATGATTCCAAGTACCTGATTCGTAACCTGGAGCTCGTGTCTCACAGTTTTCACCATAGGTGCCAGCCTGGCACAGGCAGAGGCACTCCGTCCCGGAAAGCACGGGCCTGCCATTGTTGGGGCACGGGGCACACTGGCAAGGGTCAAACCTGCCCACATATTCCCTCAGGGCTCTCCGCAGGTTGCGACGCTTGGTCACAGCACAAGGCACATTCTTCACCAGATCCATGATGGGTGACACCTGGCACAGGTAGACATTCCATAAGACGTTACCTAGATGCAGCAGGGTCCTGCTGGGGTAGCTGCAGGATTTTAAAGGCACTAGAACACACAGGTGAAGGTTTATCACAGAGAATGCAGGTGTGTTGGAAGTTGTGGATGATTTAAAGGAGCATGACAGTGCTATATGTCTATTTTATCCTGTTTATATTGCTTTTATTTCCCCAATTTAGGGTTCTGTGACCCAGTGGAAAATTAACCAAGTGGAACACCATGTCTAAAAATTCAGGACACCATAGGTGCTGTCAGGTTTGCTTCTACCTGGCCACTGTCATGCGAGACATCCCTAAGCTGCCTTCAGGAGCTCAGCAGCTGCAGCCGAAGAATGCTCACGGCAAGCTGCATTCAGGCAGTTTTTCTGTTTGCCTGCAGGGCTTTGTCACTGCTGATGAGCAGCCGCTGTGTCAGCTGGGGAGCCAGGCAGCTCACTGTGCCCACAACAGCACCAGCACTCTGCATTAAATGACCAGGACAGGGATACCAGGAGACCTATGTGCCATACCTTGCAACATAGGCTTGACGAGGGAAAAAAGTGTACCCAGCACATTCACTACTTTCTTGCACAGAAACTGTCCCCTGCCCATGCCTGAGCTCCTGATGCTGCCAGAGTAACTAATGCATATTTCTCCTTCTTATTCTTGCTGTCCATGGAGGATGAAAACTTTGTGTGATTTAAAAACTGACGTGCACGAGAAGTAGTTCTAATAAATATTTTGTAAGTTTATATTATGGCCACACATATGTGCATTCATATGCCACACAGCATCATCCCAACTTAAAAGAAGAAACACCTGCAGAGTTCTCTGAAGAGCTGCTACTGGTGAGCGTTCTACTATCTCACTGTTTTTCTTGTTCTTCTCTTACCTCAAAGTCAATCACCACAGGATTGTCCTTTGTTGATTCCAGCCAGTTTGTGAAGACTGTGTGTCCTGGAAAAGCCCCCTTTTTCTCCCAGGCCAGAGCTGCTGCATACTCTGACCTGCCACCTTTTACCAGGGAGACGGACCGTTCGGCTGACTGCAAAATGGAACCTGAAAAGGGTTTCATCACAGCATTATGAGACAAAGGCCTCCAAAATCAGCACATGTGACAACAGAGTTCTAAGAAAAAGCGTAAGAGGATATAAAATAATATAATATGATTCATTTTTTAAAGCTACCCTTGGTAGAATAAAATCTAAGCTCAGAAAAACAATTCCAGCAGCCTGTTCATAGTCTTCCAAATGAAACTGGCTGAGACCTCAGCTAGAGAGATATTCAGAACTACACAAGAAACCTGTGGAAAATGCAGGGGATACAGCAGGCTCCTCTGGCAGAACACAATGCAAGGCAGGATCTTTAATACCAGCTGTAAATACCTGAGTAATGGACATTGATCATAAAATAAGAACAAAAACATGTGAGAGGTGATGAAAACTCTGTGTTTAGTGATGGAGAATACAACTTGCCATTCTTGCAGAAAATGCACCAACTTTCTGCAATTCCTGGGGCATATTCTGGTGTTGCCAGGGAATTCCTGCACCTAGATGTCTGCTTGGCATGAGGAAGACGGGAAAGGAAAGTCAGGAATTGGGGACTGTGTTGCTGCCCACCTCTCTCAATGAGCCCTGAGCAACCCTTAAAGAAGATCAGAAACGCAGTCATGATCACATGTTTCTAGTTGTGCTCACTTCCCAGTACAGCATGCCTGGCCCTGGATCTGGGGCCATGGAGAATGTTTGCTAGATATATTACTGTCTGGAAGAGCCAGTGCCACTTGAAACCAAACAATGGTGCTCCAGAGCACAGGGAGAGTGGTCCTACATCATAATTTCTTTTACAGTTAAGAGGATGTTTCCAGTCCTTTCTTCAGAGACAAAGAATGAAACACTGGCACCTCTGGCAGTGCTGTAAAAGCATCTGTAGTTCAGCAAAACTGCTAGTTCACCTGGGGCACCTAGATGAGGGAAATGGTATCTCTCAGGGAAAGTAACAGGACATGGGCTCTGTTCTTATCATGATCACCTTCGTGTTTCACAGTCATCCTGTTCATGGTGCATCTGGTACTGACTTTCCTTTTCTTGAAGAAGAGCACACGCTTTGTTGTTTCTGTTCGGACACACTCCATTGATTCATCCACTGACAGGCCTAGAAATGCCACAGAGCAGCAGCTTCGTCACTGTAATTATGTGTCATGGCAGCACCATGGCCCCAGGCTTTCACATCAAGTCTAGTCATTGAGGGTCTCCCTGCTCCTCACCCACCCCTGGAGCCTTCACGACTGCAGGATCCTGCTTCCCCAGGCACAAACAGCATTGGACTGAGTCTCACTTAATATCCCCTTTGCGTACCTTTCCATACTCATGTAAGTGAGAGCAGTAGTGTTAAGGAACACAGAATTTAACCTCAGATTTCCACTTTTGTGGTTTTGTTGGGTTTTTGTTGTTGTTTCTTTGTTTTGTTGTTGTTTGTTTGTTTGTTTTTTCCTCTTCATTTTGACAGTCTGGCAGTCATGGGAATATTTTTAGAGTAATTTCTAATCAACACCAACAACTTTAATGACTGTATCCCAAGCAGTACCACTTACACATCTCAGACTCCAGTCCCACACTGAAGTATGCTGGAGCTCCTTTTTCTGGTGGTACCTGGTCATAATCTGAAAGCTTTAAGAGATTTCCCTGAACATAATTACATTTACCAAGTAAGGAGCATTTTGAACATTTCAAATTAAGACAGTGTAGAGCAAAAATGTATTCTTGCTCTATATTTAGGCAGTGTGAGTGATTAACTTGGTTCTATGCAAGTTTAATTATTTTTTTTCTGTTGGACAATTTACTATGTGGTGTAAGAACTAAAAACAGTAACAAGGAAAGCTGATAAACAAATTATCTTTTCCTTCAAAGATTACATACCTGAGTTCTTTAATTCCTCAGAGTTGTACTGATAAAGTATGTCATAGGAACCACCCATCTTCCCAGAGGTGTAGTAATGAGTGCCAAAGTCATCAAATATTCTGCTGTATAAAGCATAGTTGTATTCAAGGGGCAGGTGGTTAAGTGCTTTTAGAAAGATGTCTGAGAGCTGCAGATCTGACTGTTTCATTGTGAAGTTTGCAACAGAAATGACTTTGTGGACTCTAATAAAGTTGGAATTCTAGAAATAAGAAAAGGGGAGTCTTAGAATATTCATAGGTAATTAATTGCAGAAGGCAGAGGAGCCAAGAGTATGTCCTGAGATATATAGTAAGAGCTAATTAATCCTGTGTATCATGCTGCTTTGAACATGAAAAAAATAACCATGGAGTATCCAAGAGCCCTAGGATGGTCCTGGGGCTAATGTTCCTTAATCTGTTACATGGTGGGACTATAGAACATTACAACAAAAATTAGGACTCCCTGAGCATCTACCAAGGAGAAAGAAAAAGATTCCTGCCATAACAAGTTCACCAGCAACTGATAAGCCAGCTAAAATCTTCAGGGGAAAGTCTTCAACTTACAAACATCTGTAGGTCATTTGCAACTAACCTGGTGAGTGGGTATTCTAGATACTAACTCACTGTTATGAAGATTCATAGTTACTCAGGCTGCTAAAACTAAAACTAAACCACAGAGATAAAGATCTCTTTGAGCACAAGTATCAGGCTGTTAATGTATGAGGAAAAGAAAAACTGAACCAACAACTTCAAAATGTGGAAACACCTCTTACATTTAGAAAAACACCTGATGTTTTTGAAGCAGTTAATTAATATATTTTTGCAATACTAGAGGCTGTTTATGTGGGAGTTTTATTAAATAGAAAGGAGAGGAATAGAAAATACTGGAAAAAGGGATTTATAAAGTGTCAAAGGGAACTGATGGCACAAAGCTGAAGCAAAGAGATCAAGAGCAAAAGGAGGAGCAGGAAACTGGAATAAATTACCAACTGGCAGATAGACAATATTGAGTATAAAACAATTTGTTAAATTTGGTACTGATTAATACAGAGGTTCCTCTGCTGAATTTTGCTGCTGGTAGATGTCTTCACTTCTGTCTCTAAGATCTCTTGGTTTAGAAGACAAAAGGATGCATCAAGACTGAGGAATGTTATATGCAAGCTGGACCTCAGCTCTGAGTTCTGCACTGCACTGCTAATTTCAGGGCTCTCATCTGCACATTGGAAAATAACTAAGGATACTCAGCTCTGTGCTTCAGTGAGAACAAGAATGAAAGAAACAGAGTATGTAAAAATGCCCAGATTATATTCAACTCCTAGCATACATTGTGGCAAGATAATTTTTAGGATTTTCAGGTGATCCAGGTTCTGATCCTCAATTTTCAGCTGTGCCAGCTAATGTTTCAGTTATAACAAACAAAATTGCAGGCCACTTTGGCAAATACCAATTCTAAAACCTTAGTTGGTTTTAACATGCATTTGCATGCTGAATATGAACTTCTGCTTGACATGAATCTCATGCTTAAATTTTCTGCTAGTAAAAGTACATTAAGTGCATTTATTACTAGTAATTTGCCTTACAATTGTCAAATCCGGTGATTTGATGTTGGAAAATCTTACTCGTAGAACAGTCCCAAGAAACTGGATTCCAAAGTCTCCAATCATTTCTGGTCACATGTTTATTTATAGTGGTAAATCCTGGTGCCTGTATCAAGCCTGACCCGTGAATACCAGGTATGGATACAAAATACTAGCAGATCAGAGATTATTATTCCCCAAAAAATCCTGATCTAAATCAAGGGCAAGTACACACGTTCAGTTTTGTTATTCGAACCACTTCAGTGACAAAAAGTAGCCAGCTGGACAGATGTTGAAAGCAGTAGTTTTAATTGGAAAAATTCTAACAAAGCAGGATTTCACATAAACGTGCTGATTAATTAAACTTAAATATCAAATATTATTATATTGACCCTTCTTACAAGCTGAGCTGCCACAGAAACATGACATCTCCAGGGGTGGAAATGGCTTGCTATCTTTGAGTTCTCAGGTTTTGAATTGTAGTTCAAGCAGTTCAACTCAATTAACTGCTGTTATAAATACTGGGGACATGGGCTACAGGAATGGACTTAAAAAGCCTTTAGAAGTCCTTTGATATTACAGCATAGGAATCCAGTGACAAGAAAGTGAAGAAGATAGTATATAAAAATAACAACATGAAGCAAGATGGTCAGTTAATAAAGTGCTTTGTAATTAAATGTATCAGCTAATATTCCTGTGCCTCTTTAAGAATCTTTCCCATATTAAGATCATTAATATCTTAATCAACTACACGGATAATGGGATTGAGTGCACTGTTAGCAAACTCACCAATGACACCAAGCTGAGTGGTCCAGTAGGCATGCAAGAGGGATGGGATGCCATCAAGAGCATGGACAAGCTTGAGAAGAGGGTCCGTGTGAACCATGTGATGTTCAACAGGCCAAGTGAAAGATCCTAATTGGGGTCAGGCAACCCCAGTTATCAACACAGGTTGGGGGATGGTGCGATTGAGAGCAGCCATACTGAGAAGTACTTAGGGGTACTGGTGGATGAAAATCTAGACATGATCTGACAATGTATGTTCATCACTCAGAAAGCCAACTGTATACTGGGCTGCATGAAAAGAAATGTGAGCAGCTGGTCAAAGGAGGTGATTCTCCCCCTCTACTTTGCTCTCTTGAGACTCTATCTGGAGTACTGTGTTCAGTTCTAGAGTCCTCAGCACAGGAAAGATGTGGACCTGTTGGAGCAGGTCCAGAGAAGAGCCACAAAAATAATCAGAGGCATGGAGCACCTCTGCTATGGGGAAAAGTCAAAAGAGTTGGAGTTGTTCAGCTTGGAGAACAGAAGACTCAGGGAGACCTTATTGCAGCCTTTCAATGGGGACAGACTTTTTAACAGGGCCTGCTGCAACAGGACAAAGGGTAATGGTTTTAAACTAAAAGATGCTATATTTAAACCAGAAAATAGGAAGCAACTTTTTATTATGAGGGTGGTGAAACACTGCAACACAGAGAGTTGGTAGATAACTCATACATGGAAACATTCAATGACTTGAACAGGGCTCTGAGCCTCTCCTGATTGAAGGGGCTTTGATCACCTTTAAAAGTTCCTTGCAACCCAAACCTTTCTATGATTCTATGATTAAAGGCTCAGAAAACCAGAAGACATTCTAGAGAGCCAGTCAGCTTAGCTAAAAAGTTTCTGGTAAAAAAAAAGGAAACTGAAAAATATCAAGTTTTTGTATTTTTTCCATACCATTAGAGAAAAACTCATGACCTTCAAGTAGCTAGTGCCCTCTAGAGAATCTGAGATGCTCACGTGAAACCCTTCTGCATACAGTGTAGTACATAGGTCTGAATCCGACCTCCCAAACCCAGGCAAGTTCCCTCTCCTTTTAAGTGATCTGTATAAACTTCTATTTGCACTATTTAAGAAAGTATTGCAAATTCATTTACAAGTGTCAAAAATACGTAAATATACATCTATCTACAAAAACACATAAATAAAATTTATATACGTAGAGATAAAAATAGAGGTTTTCCATTTGTTACAGTAAGGAAGATGAGGAAGACACAAGTTAAAACCCCTGATATGGATTCACTGAGAAGGGGTTTTTTACCTGTGTCACCTTTAGCCAACAGCAGATGCAGGTATTGGCTATTCAAGGTGTGTTTCTGGGATTTCATGACAATGATGCTGAAAACCAATATCCACTCAAAAAAACATCCTGATGAAAGTTTTATTTAAACTTACATTTCAATAAGTAGATTGCATCTGGATTTAAGGCAGCAGGAAGCCACATTTCCATCAAGATAAACTCACTAGTTGTACAAAAGCACAGCCTGATGTGTGAAGAGGTATCTACATAGGAATGAAAGTCAACATGCTACAAGGAACTGGAACATCAATAGAGTTTAATTCAAACTAGAAGTAATGGACTATTAGGCAATTGAGTCACTTAAGAATTTGGACATGTTAGCAAGGCCTGCAGTAAATTTCTATCATAAGAAATCTTAATATTAAGACTGATGTTTTTGTAAAATATTAATACCAGCTGTATTAGAACTCCTGACTTTCAGCAGGCCTTAGTTTTGGTCAGTCCTATGGCATCTTACATGCACAAGTGCAAACAACAGCCCATCCTTTACTGCCATTAAACTATAAAAGTACCTATTCTTATCTATGTGGTATCACTGCAGTAGTCATCTGCCTCAAAGGTGTGGAATTTTATAGAAAAAGAAGGTTTTCTGTTCTCATAAACTTTTCAGTGGATGTGTTTTTTCTGATGTTATCATTGTGATCAAGTGTATCGTGGCAGCTAAGAGACCACAATATGCAATTTAGTTACCGAATAAAAAATTAATGTATGTTGATTCCTGGTGCATGCATATGTATAACATTCCTGAGTGCACTTAATTGCTTTTTAGTTGTCTGCTACTGTTACTACATTATATTCTGCCTTCTTAAACTATAACTAGAGCAGGGAAAGGGGTGGTTTACCCTATCTGATAATCTCAAATCTGTGAAAAATCTGTGCTTTTTTAAGTGGAATAAGCCTATAGTTTATGTACTAAAAACAGGAACACATGTCGCATTGCAGAACGTATATTACAACAAGAACATTCTGTAGAACAAGAACAGGAACTTTTTCATGTGTACCTCTAGTATTAAAAAAAAAAAAAAAAAAAAAAAAAAAAAAAAAAAATGCCCTTTTTTTTTAAAGGAAAG